ATAAGAGCTCTCCCCGTATTGGGTAAACAATTAGCTAAACATCTTACTGTATACTGGGTAAGGTGGGATCATTGAAATCGAAAGTTAACTTTTCGGCTTGAAAATGAGTAAAGGTGTAAATCAAGAATAAAATAAAATATTTTTATATGAATAAATCTAATTTTTCAGACTCAAATAGGAAGGAACCAACGAATTACGACGAGTGCTGAAAAAATCGAATTTTGCAAAGAGTTGCATGAAAAATTTTTTGCACTCAAAAGAGTGTCGACACCGTCGACACGGCTGGTGCTTCCACATATTTGTGTTGAGAAAAATCAAGATTTATAAAATTTTCCCAGCGGTTATGATCTTCCGGATTTTATGTGTGGTTATTTGAGCTGTAAATCAGTTCAAATCTGTAGATAATCGTAAAATAAGAAATTTATAAGATGTGCAATAAAATATACATTATTTCCAGACCAACATTTAAAAAAGGTGGAAGAGCCAAAATGTAAACAAACCATATTTTGCCACACATAGAGGAACCACAAACTCAATAAACACGAATCATTTCAAATCATCCTAAATGTTTCTTTTTACATGCCGTAATTCCAATTTTCAACTCTATTTTGCATCCGATTGCTAGGCCTTGTCTAAAACCACCGACATCAGTACTAAAACTTCAAGTTATATTTGTTTAAATTGCAAAATTACTGATTCTATAGGATCTATAGTATCCTTTCAAGCTGTAGGATCTAGATTTGATATAAAAAATTTCAATCATCGACCCTTCTACGTCACTAATCTTATCAATGGAACCTAATGGAACAAAAAAATTATATATTTTAGGCGGTTTTAGCATGAATGGTTCGAAAAACATCGTTGATCGGCTGTTTTGAAAATCGAGCGAGAAAACGAGTTTTTAATTATTTTTATCGATAACGCGGAACATTCCTATACGACTCTTAAGGCCCACGCACATTAGATCCGGATCGGACGCGTTGCGACAAAGTGACAGCTAAATCTATTGTCTAACTGTCAAATTTACGTCAACGCAACGCAAACGGATCTAATGTGGGTGGCCCTTTAGATATTTAGCTTAGCGGTGCTATATGCGAGCATTACTTCATGTGTTCAGTTTTAAAAAACACTGCACCACTCAAACGTAATTTTTTGTGAGTTCATTCCGTGCATTGGTCAATAGGATGCTGCACGCTGACGTCACGAATGAACGCGATAAACCCGCATTCATCAGTTTGACATCCAGTGGCGGTTTGTTTACCTTTGCTTGTTAGTCGATTCAAGTGGATTTGAGGTTTTAAATAAAAAACAAATTAAAAGATATGATATCCGACTATGTTCGTTTGATAAATATTCCTCTCCAAAATATCTAAAAATAAAACATTCATTAAAAATTTTAAAAATTTTTCCAAGTCTTTGAAAACAAACCACTGCCAGATGTCAAAAAAGTGAGGTTAACCCAACGGTGCAGCTTCCTGGCTGGGATGCGACACATCTGAATCTCAATTTTAGATGGTCGGAAAATCTCACGTTAACGAATCAATCTACGGAAAATCTTTTTTAAACTCTTGCATCTAAATCCATCTACTCGCAATCTTTTTTGCATCAAATCATCAAAATCTCCATCAATCTTCTTTCTATCTGCTTAGCGTGCGATCATCTCACAACAGCAAAGCGATTTTTTCCTGCATCTTATACACAGAAAAAAAAAGTTGTTGAATATTACATCCAAACAGCTGCACAGAGGTCATTCCGCTGGTGATGTAATATTACGTTGCACGATGTATACCGATTTTGCGAACAAAATTACATCTGTTGATGTAATATTGTATCTGATTTCTGCTATTACATCATTATTTCATACATCAGCTTGAATTGGGTTCTTTAAGGGTATTGAGGAAAATGCATATTCGTAATCTGCATTAAAAATGGAACCCAAACCCAAAATTTCACCAATTTTGGTACACTGGAACCAACAATCAATACGAAACTAACGATTTTAAATTGGCTCACCACTTTAGTAGCTTATTGGTCCCAAGCAAACGATTAACGTACCCTATTCTAGTTGAAATTCTATTACTACACTATGTTTGTTTTGATTCGCTATGAAAGTTTGACAGATAACATCAGGGGTGTGTGGATTCATGCAGAACATGCAGGGGTGAGTGAAATAGCTTGGGACTGCTTGGGACCGTTGTTCTGGTACTGAGTGAGCCAAAAATAATAATGATTTTCTTCGGGACCCAGTGGTCTTAGAGTTACCTCTATGCTGGAACTATGTTAAATAAGAACGATTACATTTGCAAAAATCACCTAATTAGCGTCCCTCAGTGTCACTTTGTATGTGAGCGAGCTGTCAGTTTGTCAGTTTAGTGTCAAACAGTGAAGTTGTTATTTTGCTTTAAATCTTGATTTAAAAATCGAGATGAAAGTTTGTGGGTTCGAAAAAAAATATTACTGTGCTCAGAAAACGAAGCTTTTTCAGATAATATATAAAAACCGATATATTTTTCAAAATTAAAGAACCCAATTACGTTGATCGACATTACATTTTTTTTTTGCTGTGTACCCTGTAGTTCACTGTTTTACTATCGTTGTACCAACAATCAATACGAAACTAACGATTTTAAATTGGCTCACCACTTTAGTAGCCTATTGGTCCCAAGCAAACGATTAACGTACCCTATTCTAGTTGAAATTCTATTACTACACTATGTTTGTTTTGATTCGCTATGAAAGTTTGACAAATAACATCAGGGGTGTGTGGATTCATGCAGAACATGCAGGGGTGAGTGAAATAGCTTGGGACTGCTTGGGACCGTTGCTCTGGTACTGAGTGAGCCAAAAATAATAATGATTTTCTTCGAGACCCAGTGGTCTTAGAGTTACCTCTATGGTACAACGGTAGTATAACAGTGAACTTTGTATGTCTGTACAAGGTGTTAGATAGAGTCACCCAATGATAATAATAATGGGCAATGATAATAAAAAACTATAAAAAAAAAAAAACGTTACGCGAGATGAATTAATTTTAATCTATCGTTGTTTAGTTATATTTTTGAGTGCACCGCATGAGTGAAGGCCCAAACGCAATGACGGCGCCCAAGTAACAATTTTGGTTTTATGAGGGTTCTGTAGACCATGATTTGGACTTGTAGAATGCTATAAAACCTCTATAAAGCTTGCAATGTTACTTGGGCGGAAGCGGAACGGCAACGGCAGCGGAAAAGCCCGATCAGAGTAAAGGCCGGCGCACAATAGATACGTTTTCGGGTTTTTTGACAGTTAGCCCATGCATTATCTGTCAAAAAACCCGAAAACGTATTTATTGTGCGCCGGCCTTAAGCCTACTTCCCTAATAAAAAATAACCATAAACGAACGATAACCCAAATCATTGAACTATTCCACAAATGGTTTGGATGATACCCAGAACACGTCGTTAAGCAAATTAACCATACAATTTTTATTAGGGTTGTCGGATTGAAAACTAGTTAGATCCAAATTGACTTCGATTAGGCATCTTGATGTCATTAGTGACAACTCAGTGCTAACATTTGAAAACGGCGCAAAAGCCATTTGTAAACAAATGGTTTGTGGGCCCTTTACTCACTACTTGAAGTACACCCACGCGACACAACAGCAACATCGGGTAGGGGAAATTTTCCCCTTCCTGACGATGCTGTTGGTTTGCGTGGGCTCTTCGGGTAGCGAGTAAAGGGCCCACAAACCATTTGTTTACAAATGGCTTTGTGCCGTTTTCAAATGTTAGCACTGAACTGTCAAACTTTCCTTTTCCGCTAAGAGAAGAGGTGACAATACGGGGGCGAAAATGAACCACTTTTCTGTCAAACGTGAACCAGCTCCTGATTGGCCGATTTCATGTGCGTAAGATAGAGATAGAGATAGAAAAAGATAGAGATAGAAATAGAAATAAAAGAGGAAGAAGCCAATTGTCACCTCTTCCTCTTAGCTTTTCCGTTCCGTTCAAATTTGGGTAGTTTTGAAATAGCGTGTACACGGAGAAAAAATACTACCCAAAATTTGAGTCCTTTTTACTTAATTTTGAGTTGAGCCTCTCACTTGCGCTCGTTATTGTTGTCAAAAAAGGAATGAGAGGTTCGACCCAACGATATAGTTCCGCTCAATAAGTTATTTTTGAGTAAATTGCATATTATGTGAATTAAACTTAATTTTGAGTGGAATATACTTAAGAGTAGGTATTTTTAGAGCAACCGTAGCGGTCGTTGTCATTTGCGCGACTATTTCAGGCATAACATTTGATAACGGCACAAAAGCATTTGTAAACAAACATTCTAAGGCCCTTTACACGCGAACTAAAGTACGCCCACGCAAACCAATACCACTTTCGGAATGGTGATAGTTGCCCCTATGCGATGATGTTGTTGGTTTGCGTGGGCGTACTTTGGTTCGCGTGTAAAGGGCCTTAGAAGGTTTGTTTACAAATGTTTTTGTGCCGTTATCAAATGTTATGCCTGAAATAGTCGCGCAAATGACAACGACCGCTACGGTTGCTCTAAAAATACCTACACAGAAAAACAAAACTACCCTGATTTTAGGCTGTGAACCATTTGCCGAGTTAAATTTAACTCGTGGTTAAAAGTGACATTTCGAAAGTTATTCTTTATGTTCGAAAATCCCTGTGCTGTCGATCGACCGGTTTTCGAGAAGAACTCACCCACGGTTGTCAAAATTTAACTTCTTGTCTGTCAGAAATAACCACGCTCGGATAGCAGGGTTAATCGATAACTTTCCATCTGTCAAATTTTAACCAAAAGTTAAACAAATCCACCAAAATTTGGTGGTTCAGAGCCTTACTCATTATTGAGTATTTTGCGGTTAACGTGTAACCAATAGATCCCGTGTTGTGCGCGTTGTGCTCAGCTGAAATTTTCAAGGTTTTATCTACGATTTTTCCTCGAATTTTTAATAAAATTAATGATTAAATTGAAAAAAAATTAAATTTTAACAATTCTTTAGCATAAATGCCCAAAAGATCCCAAGCTAGACGTTTCAAAAACATGAGGAAGCATCAGCAGGACGAACTTCGCCGTGCCGAGCAAGCCTCCCTTGAACAGCTACTCAAAGGTAAGTTAAGGAACTGCTCCCTGACTCAGCTTATCGGAACTTTCCTGCTTTTCAGAGAAAAATCTATACCGTCCCGGAATGATGGGCAAAGAAATGCAGGAGCTCTGCAACGCGATCGAACAGTCGGCGCTGGATCACGAAATGTATCAGCAATCCAGTCGATTCAACAAAACTTTTCCCGAGGTAGGTATCTCTAAAAATCGATGTGAAAACTGGTTTTGACCTTCGTCTCCCAGGATCTGTCAGTAAACACGATGCATCTTTCCCAGGAGCCATCTGGATCAAAGGAAAAGGTTAACGACCAACCACCCTACGGTCAAACACTCAGCGAATTGCAATTCTATCCGGCAACGTCTCCCAAAAAAAGCAAGAACACAACTGGACCAAATTCAGCCTGCTGGGCAGCCGAGGACAGTGACAGTGATGGATTTTACTCGCCGGAATTCCCGTTAGTCTTATTATCGTATAATGAATCATAAAATTTCTTCATTTGATTGATTTTTGCAGCGGGCCGTGCTGCCGCCAAACACATATTGTACAAGTGGAAGTCCATCCCGAGCCACAAGCTGACGAAAAAGACAATCACAAAGGAATGGTGCAACAGATTATCTCTCCAAGAAAGCGGCATACGGTACCAGCCAACGAGTGGGACTCTATCGATGAGTTCTAAATCATACCCGAACGTTCTTTGTTGTTATCTCCGATGTCGAAGGTTTTGGTTTTGAACTAAAACCCGGTAGGTACATATTTTGAATACCTAATGTATCATATCGTTCGATTAAATATTGATATTTATATAAATCGCTTTCATTCAGTGAAATGCCGTTGTTAATCGAATGTTTTAATCAACGTCTATCCTGTAGTGAGTCGCATTTATTCAATATCAACTCTGATGGATGGCTTTGGGAGTCGATTGTTTTCTTATCAGGATATCGACGAAAGCTTCCCTGCTATCGGCCACATCATGGTTTTACTCACCAGCAGTGACTACTGCCTGTAGTCACATAGCCGCTGCATTCCATATTTCCAGATAAGCTTGGGCGCAAATGATTGGTCCATGCCAGATTTAAGGGCTTTGTTCAGGGAAGCCTTGACATTAGACCAGTTCCACACCAAATCGCGTTTCGGAAATACTCGACCTGATGTTGATGAGTACCGACCGACTAGCTGTAGGTATCGGATCGTTGCTACGATGTAATTGTCCTGTGCGAAACGTGGCTCGATTTTTTTTTTATATATCTTTATAAAGGAGACTTTTAGCCCTGGGCTGGTTCGTCTCTGTGGTGGCTCGATTCTCGAACGCTTTTCAGTCAAGTCTTCGCACTTGACAACGAGATTTTTCGTTGCGATCGGAACCTAACAACAGCCGTAAATCTACTGGTGGAGCTGTACATTCCACCTTGAGTCCGGGACAATCAACTCATCGATACTCACATGTTTTCACAGTTATAGAAAGTGCCACTCCAGTTGATGAGATATTCATTTTGAGTGGCTTCTATCTGCAAGGCGTTTATGGGCTGTTCATAAACTACGTATACAGTTTAGGGGAGGATTGGTAATCATCCACGGCCCATACAAATAAAAAATAAAATGTAGTGGAGAATTGTCTACGTAGGTCAAGAAACCCAAAAAAAAAACTGTCTACGTAGTTAATGAACACCCCCTTAACAGATTTCTCAATCCAGCAATACTGACGGGGATGACTTCACATCGTATGCTGCCATGATTAACAAACACTATGATGCGTTTCAGCTGTCCAAGCTCAATTCAAAGCTCTTCGTTTTGTCTGTGGACCTTAAACGACACGGGATGTAGACATACGAGCCAAATTGATATCGAAGTTGGAAGCCGACGAAACCGCAGTTAACGATTTGGGAAGAGCCGCCAGCAAGGTAACCCTGGAGAACCTCGTGGAAGAATGCCATTGCGTGACCAATCTCAAGCATGGCACAGTGATGGTAGAGAACAAAGAAGAACGCAACGTCAGCTTTGTATATCTCAACCAGAATAATGCCACGTAGGAAGTGTGGCGTCCAGCACTATGTTCGTGTTGATACTGTTCCAGCAACAAACCGACGCCTTAGAAATCGTTCAAGCAGACGAAACCCAAGGAAAACGTGAAAACGAAAAGTATATACATACACGGTTCGCATCATCAAGCAAGCGGAACTTCATCCCGGTCGAGCAGCAGGCAAACTTCAACACGTGTCAGCGTCCGACATCACCATCATCTCAGAAGAGACATCGATCGTTCTGGCCCTGCCGTCGAGTTCGGTGGTGGGGTCTCCCAAGCATCGTCTTCAGGCAAGTATGCATACATTAGTTACAGTCATTTGCCTGATCAGTTTCCGTGTTCCAATGCAACGCTTCAAGCACCTGCCGGCTGTTTCCAGTTGAGAAACACTTCTGATACTGCTCATTCACAACATCCGCTTTACTGTTCGAACAATCCTAATTCATCTCCGGGACGCACAATATACCGCTCTTTGGAAGCTCCTGGTTACTCCAGCCCAGTCGTGCCGATTCCCGCCAGCGTTCAGCATAGTCGTCCTGGACCTGTGGCTGTATATGAATCAGGAGTCTTCCACCTTGCCTCTACAAGCAAGTACAATCAATATATTGACTATTCACTGCCTGATGCCGATCAAATTTTCATCAATTCTGACTATGTTAGTCATTGTGATAATGCCTCTGTAACTTCCAATCCTGGAAACCCGGAACGCGCCGTAGAAAGCCCCATGGAAGCCCCCAATCCCTCCTTCTCAGTCCTGGCACCAGCATCATAGTCGTTCCGGACCTGCTGTCGGATGTGGAGAGGAGGCCTTCGAACCCACTCACTATGGCGAGTATCCGATGAGACTTGATGATGGTCAGTTATTGCCTGATGTATCTGTGATTTCCAGGGAGAGCAGTCGTTCGATTCCTTGCCGCAAGCAGGACGTCGTGATCTTCTACCAAAACGCCGGTGGAATGAATTCTGATGTTGAAGAGTACCGCCTAGCTGTATCGGATCGTTGCTACGATATTATTGTCCTGTGCGAAACGTGGCTCGATTATCGAACGCTTTCCAGTCAAGTCTTCGGTCCTGACTACGAGGTCTTTCGTTGCGATCGGAATCCTAACAACAGCCGTAAATCTACTGGTGGAGGTGGAGGTGTCCTTGTAGCTGCCATCGAGAACGATTCACGGACCTATGTGGAGCAGGTTTGGACAGCCATCAATCTGGGTGATCGCACACTATTTCTATGCGCTCTGTACATTCGACCTGATCGAGTCCGTGATAATGAACTCATCGATACTCACTGTCGGTCAGTTTTCACAGTTGTCGAAAGTGCCACTCCAGTTGATGAGATATTCATTTTTGGTGACTTCAATCTGCCAGGCGTTTCGTGGAGTCCATCTCATAGCGGATTCCTATACCCAGATCCTGATAGCTCTACATTTCACGCAGGAGCTATTAGCCTTCTCGACAACTACAGCGCAGCGACGCTTTCTCAAATTAACCATGTAGTTAACGAAAATGGTCGTAGTTTGGACCTCTGCTTCGTGAGTACACAGGACAGGGCTCCATCAATTTGCTCGGTTCATTGTGCACTAACTACGCTAGTTCCACATCACCCTCCCCAAATTGTCACTGTTGAGGACAAACTCGTGCGTGATTTCGACGACTATCCTGCTACGGTTTCTTATGACTTCCGTAAAGTTGACCACCGTAGCATCATAGATGTATTGTCTAGCATGGTTTGGGAGAACATCCTTTTTTTAACTCTTTATTTGTTCCAAATTCAAAATAAATTACATTTCCTTTTTAACCTAGGTGCTCCAGTTACTGCAGTAACGTACCAGCCTTAATTGTTATGATATATATCTAAGTGTTTTTACATTGTTCATGTCTTGGCAATTAAGTATTTTAAACAGGTTTTTTAACCTGCATGTCAGTATACCAATTGATATCTTAAAACTAAAAACTAAAACTAAATCTTATCTAAGTATAAAGGGAAATAATCGTTGCAATTGAGGATTGCAACGATTTTTGCCTGAAATTATTCATTATTTTGTTGGACATTTGTTCTAAAGTCTCAACATTCGAAATTCTATGTACCTCAGTAGTACTGTACCAGGGAGGCAACTTCAAAATCATTTTCAGAACTTTGTTCTGAATCCTTTGAAGTGCTTTTTTCCTGGTAGTGCAACAACAAGACCATATTGGCACAGCGTAAAGCATGGCCGGTCTAAAAACTTGTTTAAATATTAGAAGTTTATTCGTCAGGCAAAGTTTGGATTTCCTGTTTATAAGAGGATACAAACATTTAATATATTTGTTACATTTGGCTTGAATGCCCTCAATGTGATCTTTAAAAGTTAATTTTTGGTCAAGTATTAATCCAAGATATTTCACTTGGTTTGACCAGGAAATTGGAACTCCGTTCATAGTGACTATGTGACTACTACTAGGTTTCAAAAACGAAGCTCTAGGCTTGTGTGGAAATGTTATAAGTTGAGTTTTGGAAGCGTTGGGAGAAATCTTCCATTTTTGTAAATAAGAAGAGAAAATATCTAAACTTTTCTGCAGTCTGCTGCAAATAACACGAAGATTTCTTCCTTTAGCGGAAATGCCTGTGTCATCAGCGAACAAAGATTTGTGGCAACCCTGAGGCAAATCAGGGAGGTCCGAAGTGAAAATGTTATACAATATAGGCCCAAGAAAGCTACTCTGAGGAACTCCTGCACTAACAGGTAGTCGATTGGATTTGGAATTTTGATAATTTACCTGCAGAGTTCTGTCAGTTAAATAATTCTGAACTAATTTCATAATGTAAAGTGGAAAATTAAACTTTTTCAATTTAGCAATCAAACCTTCATGCCAAACACTGTCGAATGCTTTTTCTATGTCTAGAAGAGCAACTCCAGTTGAGTGGCCTTCCGATTTGTTTGAACGAATTAAATTGGTAACTCTTAAGAGTTGATGAGTAGTTGAATGCCCATGGCGAAATCCAAACTGCTCATCTGCAAAAATTGAGTTCGTATTGATGTGAAGCATCATTCTATTCAAAATTATCTTTTCAAAAAGTTTACTTATTGAAGAAAGCAAACTTATTGGACGGTAGCTAGAAGCTTCAGCTGGATTTTTATCCGGCTTCAAAATTGGAACACTTTTTGCATTTTTCCATTTATTAGGAAAGTATGCCAAATGGAAACATCTATTAAATAATTTTACCAAGAAAGACAAGGTACTCTCTGGGAGTTTTTTGATGAGGATATAGAAAATTCCATCATCACCTGGAGCTTTCATATTTTGAAACTTTTTAGTTATAGACCTTACTTCGTCCAAATCAGTCCCCCAGGAATCATCAAAAATATTTTCCCGAGAGAAAATATTCAGAAAATCCCCAGCAACCTGATTCTCAATAGGACTAGTAAGACCCAAACTAAAATTATGGGAACTCTCGAATTGCTTAGCAAGTTTCTGAGCTTTTTCCAAATTTGTGATCAAAATTTTACCACCTTCTTTAAGCGCTGGAATACCCTAATAAAAATTGTATGGTTAATTTGCTTAAGGACGTGTTCTGGGTATCATTCAAACCATTTATGGAATAGTTCAATGATTTGGGTTATCGTTCGTTTGTGGTTATTTTTTATTAGGGTAGGCTTTTGAGGTTTTTTCAAAATTTTTGTGAGTTTCCAAAAGGGTTTGGAACTCGGGTCTAATTTAGAAATATTATTTTCAAAAGTTTTGTTCCTCAGGGCAGAGA